AGAGTGAAGAGAGTGGGACTGTCTGGCCCAAGGGCCCACAGCAGGCAGCTGTAAAACAGCTTGGGGAAGGCTAATCAGGAGCTATTATTTTGTGGAGCAAACAAAGTACCTTTTTAACATAGTGGATTTATAGGTAACTTGTGGAACAATAGTTTTAAAGAAAAACCCAGGTTCATTGACAAGGGGTCCATCCTTCCGCTGTATGGTAAGTGCTCACGTCTTGTGTTAGGAACACATCAGATGTGGTTTACTGCAGCAGCACCAAAGGGACCTTAGTTAATTAAACAGAGGTCAGAAAAAAAAACCATGAGTGGGTTCATTTTTTTTCCTGTGAAATTCTTTGTTACACGAGAGTTGAGCTGGGCCACAATACTGGGAATGCCATGGAGGGGGGGATGTCTTTCCAGGCACACGCGCTACCGTGACTGCACCGTGCCTGTGGAGCAGCTGGAGCTCAGCACCGAGCGTTGGGTGATGTGTGGGGCCAAGGAGTGGGCCAGGACCTTCCCCCCCCAAAGCCATCCTAACGGGTGCCCTGTCCTGCCCCAGAGCTCTGCATCCAAGCTAAAGGTGGCATCTACGAGAGCTTTAGAGGGTACGGACACGTGGATCTGCATAACCACCTTGTACAGTGTACGTGGCATTGTTTTCCTGTTAAAATTACATGTGAATTAAATTTTATTGTGGAATTATTACTTTTAATAGATTAGCCGCAGGAAGATAACAGTGTGTTTATCACAAAATAACATTTATCCAGAGGATGTGATATCCCACTTTTGGGAAGCAATTAAGTGCACCCTCAATTATATCTTCCAGGTTTCGATGGCTGAACAGTTTTCACTGTTCTTACAGAAATCTGCCACTTGGAATAAGAATTAAACTTGACTGGTAAAAATGCCATTTTACCACAGCATCACCATATAGCTGGATCTTATTTGGTTTTGATTGCAATGTCAACTTAAAAGATGCAGTGCATATTTTTAAATCACATTAACATTATATTTAGATCTTTTAGTTAAGTTGTAGGTATGCAGTCCTATTAAAAATAGATAGCTAGGTATAAAAACCACGAAGTCTTGATGCTTGCTTACTAAATATTCAGAATACAAATGGGCATTTCTCTGGTAACACCTGTGAATTGAGCTATTCTGGTAGAATTTAAAAGTGTTACTGGCATGAGTGACAGCCACCAATGTATGCATATTATTTCAGTCACACTGATGGCCGGGGCGCTCCTGCAACTATTTCCCATGCCATTTAACTTTTATTTTTTTTTCTCAATTTCAGGAAGAAAAGACACTGTGATTTTATTGCTAAAACAACTACTGCTTCCAACTGTAATGGGATGCAATTGTGGGCCGTGTACTGGCAAGTCTACATATCAGGTAAGTGTTAATTCCTGCAAGGCAAGAAACACAAGACAGGTAGAGTTTGTCACGATTTATTTTGCTGGTTCTAGCAAGAAAGTCTGGGTTAATCTGCCCACACAGTTTTAGAAAAGTTAGCCCTACAAGAAAGCCAAATGACTTCTCGGTTTCTCCTCAAGCAACGCTTGTGGTTCTACTCAACTATGGGTGAGCGTGTTACAACCCTCACCCTCCCAACCGGCTTCCTGTTCAATCCGTTAAAAAGCAAATTCTTCTATCTAGTGCCTGAATGGACATTCCAGTCCTAAATAGCAGGGAAAGAATCAAGAAAGTATTTGATTTTTTAATTTTTTTTTTTTTTTAAGGTCCAGCCAGAACACAAGGCCTATTTTTGGTTTTGGTTACATTCGGCTGTGAACATTGGCATGAAGGGCGAGGGGCTCCGTGATAGAGAGCATTTTTCTGCTCTTTATTTAAATAGGCTCCTTCCCAGAAGAGTAACGACCCAAAATTTGCAGTTCCAGTAAAATGCTGTCGGAGGAGTGCTGGGGAAAAAAAGGTATGTGATAGAAGTAGAGGTCTGAAAAGTAAAGTAGAGCAGAACTGCATGCAAACAACATGAGATACTGCAGGAACTCCAAGTCTTCTTTCATTAACTGTAGCCTAAATTGGAAAAACTGTTGGTTTTGTGTTTTTTTTTTCAGAGTTGTGCTGTCTGTTGCATTTTAATCATGGTTGAGGGGGACAGAACAATTGGGAAAAAAACACAAAAAAACCCCAAACAAAGTAAACCCACCCCCTTGCATGGAGCACCTCCCCTGTGCATCTTAAAGTATGGAAATAGACCACAGAGGCTTCACAGGGCTGCAAAGAAGTGCCAGAGTATCCCGTTGTGCTCTTCTACTGTACACTTGTTGGAGTTTTTGGGGGGAGTTTGTTTTTTTAATTTTTTTTTTTTTTTTTTTTTTTTTTTTTTGACTTAATGAAACATTTCCAGCTGGTATGTTCCCCGTGCTCCCACTGCTCAGCTCCAAATTATCTTTTTTCTTTCCTGCTTTAAAATGGTGGGTACTTACTGCAGAGAGCCACACGTGTAAACGCGGCCACTGCCAGGGTGGTGCAAGCCAGCTGTTGTGCACATGTGGAATGCAACAGCTGTGTTTCTGACGTATTGCCTTGCAATGGGGTGGCTTCCTAGTAAATGCAGAGTTATGCTCCCAGGAGCTACTCAACAGTAAAATGCTGGTCTTTGGTTCAGATGTGACCCGGTGGCTCAGCCCAGCTTTGCCAAGACACCTGTGACTTCTCTGTCATCCCAAATGGCTCGATGCTGGCGGCACCATACCCTGGCTGGTGCCCACCCTGGGGGAAAATGGGCACCAGGCTGCTCCCTGTAACCTCCCACGCAGACTCTTTGCCTGTCTCTGCGACCAGGAGGTGACAAACCACTTAGTGCAGCTCCATGGACACGGGGGGGTGGCTGGCAGACCTCCGGGCTCCTCTTTTATTAGCTCTCAGAAAATACACGGCTGCGGAGGCTCCTGCACCTTCTGCCTGAGCTCCGACCCCTCGGGCAAGGGGCTAGATTGCTTTTACAGCCAGTACGTAACCCTGCTGCTGAGACTTGTCAACAAGGAGGCCAATTAGCAGCAGATATGATGGCGGGGGATATAATGCAGATGTCTGTCTGTTAGGAGCACAACTGATACATTTTTAACACAACACGCATTTTTAAAATATGGCTCTGCATAAATGATGCCATCCCCTGCAAAATAATCCCTCTCTACACTCAAGTGTTACAGGAAAATTTTAGGGTTTATTTTCCAAATTCTTTCTCCCTTAAGCCTTGGGCTCCTGATGACTATGGCAGGTGTAGGATTATAAGAACTAATTCTGCTTGAAAAAAATGTCAACTTTTAATTATTGGCATTAAAAAAATATATGTAGGTGCAGAATGAAAACAGGGCAGTTGTTGCTGTCCTAAAGAGGGTCAATACAGAAACTGAGATGGTTTCTATCAACCACAGGTGTGTACTGGTGTATGTATCAGAGAAGAGATTAGGGAAAGTTGAGGTAATTGATTAAAATTGTGCAGGTCTACAAGCACGTTATAGCCACCTGCTGCAAAAAGAGAGCGGCTCTTTATCATGTATCAGCATGGGACACTAATACCCCAGATGGGGGGACATCAGGTTCTTCTGTGAGATGCATGGGTTTTGGTGAAGCTAGAGAGGCCCACTGCACGAGGAAGGTTGAAGTTTTGGTTGTGATTGGGCCCCAGCTTTTAAACAAAAGTTCCATTAAGGCTGAAGGGCTGGAGCTGCTCCAAGACATTACAAGAGTAACTCGGTCCCCTCTCAGCCCCCTCCCAAAGACACTCAAACAGAGCAGAGCCTGCTGCTTCCAGAGAGTGTCCCCTCTCCTCTGCCAGCCACTGCTCTTTGGCTCCCTCCCTGCACCTTCTGGGCTTGTTTTAACCCAGCATTTGAACCTACATCTTAAACCACTGTCTCAATTAAATGGTTATAATAATTTACAACAGAACTGTAACAATTGACACAAGCAGAGATCTGTTTTAAAACCATCGAGACATAATCAGGCCTTTAACAGATCAATCTCTGAAATACCTTTCAAAATTACAGCATGGTCATCTTTTAATTGCTAGGCTATTTATTGTCTAGTGCAAAACACACCATATAGAGCAGCACTTTATATTTTCTATTACAGAGAGAGTGCAAGAGGAGAGAAAGACCAGCTCTTCTTGAACATCTTACCATCCTGAAAAGCTGAAGATGCCTTCCCTTCACCCAACTCAGGCGTCGCCGGCAGAAGGAGGAGCAGTGGGTTCAACACACGCTGTTAACAGCTCCACGCTCTCTAACAAGGTACTGAGAGAGGCCCTGAAAATTAGTATCCACACCCCAGCAGCAATTACCGCAAGAATTTTTCAGTTGATTAGACAACGCTGCCCCACTTGAGGGCAAAGGGCAATCCACATGTATTTAATGTTAACATTAATTTATCTGAGGATAATTTTTATCTAATGAATACCCAGGGTGGTTTTTTTTTCCCCCCTTGGTTAGTGTTTAAAACCTCTAACTTCCTTTCAGGATGTTCAGTATCTTTTCTTGTTCGGTGCAGCCAGTAATATCTTTGCTTCTTGGAAATCTGTCTGTTCTTAGCGTTTCCTTCTTTAGCCTCCTCTGTGCATTTTAATTATTTCATTAATCTTTGGTGAAAAAAAAAATAGCTTTTTCTAAAATGCTGACAAAATGCATACATGGTATTTTTAGAATAGAAAAAAATAGATTCCTACTACACTCTTTCAATGAACAATGTTCCTTTATTTGCTGCACAGCTCCTCTTTAAGGAACGAGTTCTCCTGATTTGATTTGGGCTGTTCCCAGGCAAGGCCAAATTCACCAAAATTCTGCTTAACGATCTGTGATAACCAGAGCTTCCCTTTTCAAGTTCAACCACTGGTAAGTTCTTACCTTTTTTCTCTTTGTATCTTCTTGTCTCATAGGAGGATCCTTTCCTCCTCACTCCAAATCAAGCCTAGATCTATTTAAGGTGGGTTTAAAAAAAAAAAAAGAGAGGAAGGAAAACCAAAAAGAAAGAAGAATATAGCCAACCTTTTTAATTAGAGTATATTGTACTTCCAAACTGGATACACTAGAAATTGGCAATGCAACATAAGATGCAAAGGAATATACCAGTTACTGTCAAAATGACCCTGTACAGCCTTATAATGCAAAAAGCTTTATACAATACAAATTTTTATTAATGTACACAAACCTTGACAGAATTATATTTGAACATAATACAACAATTAAAAAAAAAAAAAAAGACAGAAGAAAGAAAAAAGTGCTGAGAACTTTAACTGAATTGCCAAATGGAAAAACACGCTAGCTTTCGTTAAAGAATGCATAGTGAAAACCAGTATGAAATTACCTTTATGGTGGGGGGGGGAGGAATTTATCAGAACTGTTGGTCATTAGACGGTGGGGGAAACCTCTGGAGAACGTTCCTTTCTTTAGCCTTGAACTGCAAACTAATTATTTTAATATGCATGAGCTCTGATAAATACCATAATTTTTTTTTCTTAAAAAAATAAAAACCTCCTAACACACTCTTCCATACAGAGAAAATTTCTATAACTTGCCAGAAAGCCTTAATTTATCCTTTCCAAAGTGCTAAACAAATTTCCCAGGTATGTTAAACATGACTGTGTCAGATACTGGTGGTGGTGGGGGGACACACGGTTGAACACGTGGCGTTGGCACGCTGACACCTCATTCTTGGAAGTTCCAGCCCTATTTGAACTGCTTCTTGGATTAGAGATAGTGTCCTACTGATATTCCTACTGCTCCCTCCTGAACAGCTCTACTTTACCTGCTGGTTTGAAAACTAAGCTTTTTAGATTTGGAAGTGTTTGCTCTTCTATGGTGGGCTCAGAGATAGATACAGGCATCGGGTGTACTTTAAAGAACTGGTTCTGGATGCAGATGGCATATTTCGTGCTGTCAAGATACTCAATTTTTTTAATGCTTTCAATAGTTACGGCATTTTCTGTTCTGTCTGTATTCCGGGAGGGGGGGTGGTGGGGTGGGGGGTGTCACCAGGAGTTCTGATGGAGTGGAGTGTGGCAAAGAGGGCCCTGAGTTAGGCAGGCTGTTTGTGAAGGTTTGTACCTACTGTGGAACAGATGGCTTTTCTTTACTGCCACGTGCTCCTTAGAACCAAAACCGTCTGCTGGAATGTAAACAACATGGTGGGGCTTCTCTGTCCTTTAATTTGTTAACTTCAAATGATAGCCAGCTACTATTTTGGGTATTTCCCCCTGGTAAATAGCTTCCAGTATGTTAACAGGAGGGCACAGTTCAGGATGTCCTCCCTGAACAGGAAGAGTTTGGTCATGATAATGGAGAATGTTTGGCCATCTCAGTGCAAAACAAATGTAGGAATCTTGCAAATAGGTTAAATGATGCAAGTTTTGCATCAAAAAAAAGTATTTCTACACAAGCTTCATTTAAGAACTAATGAAGACTGAGTTATGTTTCTAGTTGTGCATATGGCTAAGAGCCCTTGTGGACCAGAAATGCCTTCCTGAACTGGGTCATGAACAAGGGGTGGGCTCCAACTGCCACGTCAGATCCCCCCCATCCCACAACAACCTGAAGAAGAAGTTCCTTCAGGACGGCACGAGGCTGGGTGGACAGCAGGTGAGATGTGACTCAGGGCACCTCCTGCACTGGCTTGGCCAAGGGACAGAGAGGGGACTCTGACAAAGCTTGGTCAGATGTTTCTAACACTTGATGAAAGACAGCGAGGTCCAAATCCCAGAGACGCCACGGGGAAACAGTAATCCAGTAAAAAAGCATTCCTGTAAGTCACATGGTAATTTGAAATGTTTCATATTTTATACTCCCAATTTTAACGCAGAGTATTTTTTAATCCTGATCTTTCTTCCTGGATATTAAGCTGTCTAAGAGACACAAATCAATTAACAGTCGGTTAGCTTCTCTTAAATTAAGATCACTCTTGGCATTTTGAGATTAACAAAGGTTATACAACCAATTTGCAGTTGCTTCTTCCTGCAATAAAGTGCTACATATAACATGTCATTTTAATGACCACAAGTAGGAGCGTTAAATAAGTATAAAGTTAGCTTCCTAGCAGTGTACGCTCTATCCGCCATTAACAAAAAGGAATAAAGTGTTACTAATTACATGGAGGGTTATCGATAGGACTGTAGAATTTGCGAGTACAATTGAAATAGGGTATAAAAGAGAACTGCATGGTTCAAACAGCATCTTTTTATAGCTTTATATTTCCAAGAAGTTACTGGTACCTTTTCAAATAAACAGTCGTCTTACCTTCAGCCCACAGATTATTTTTTTCCTTTTTTTTTTCTTTTTTTGCAAGTGAGAAACAAACTAGTGCAAGACTAAAGCACTGTGCAAAACTGCCGGTTTTTTTTTTAGTCTGAGTATTTATACCCAGAATTTATCCATACCCTTTTTTTAAATCCCCTTGTTGAATTTTTTTTTTTTCCACCATAGAATTCTAGTTATATAAGTTGTTCCTGCAAACTAAAAGGTAACCGCTGCATAATACTATATATATATATAATATTTATATGCCCTTTTAAAACAAAAGTTGTATTCTCTGGCCCAGATGCAGGTGTAAGAGTTAAGGATTGGGCCCGCTGTGTGGGTGTGTAGACTGCACACACTGCATGCGTGTGTGTGTGTTCAAACACAAGCTTTTTGTTGTCATACTCTCGTCCTGCAGTGCTGAAAGCAACATTTTCCTCATCAGTTCTACCCCAAATCCTCAAACCTTGGCATCGTACAAGTCAAGGAAGCTGCAAACAGCACTGCAATAATACACCGATCCACCCCCAACCAAGCGTTGCTCCTTCCACAAGTCTACAGCTCAGGGGGGAGACGGAGGGGAGGGAGGGAGGGAGCGAGTGTGTGAAAAGGAGAAAAGAATAATAATAATTAAATAAGCCAATCCAAGGGATGTGCAAAAGCAATGTCACGGGCACGCTACAGGCAGCCTCTCTTTCACGCACCCGCACGCACACAAAGCCCCAAAAAAATAAAATGCATCAATATGTAATCTTACAAGTGCTGATTGCCATTAAGGACACTCTTTTTCAGCTTAACAAGACAAAATAGTTTCTTAGATAAGAGTACTGGGAACATGCCTCTGAAGGTAGAAGTATGCAGTAGGTCACCTCTTGAAGATTTAATAAAGCAGCTTTCATGTCAATGCAATAAGTATACACACAGAGCCATTGTCTAAACCTTACTAATGATATGGTACAAGTGTTCGTTACCTCTTCGCTCTACGTTTTGCAGCAATGTATACCTGCTGGGTTTGTCGGGGTATTTTTGGTACAGAACGTAACTGCCCTCAGACAGTCTCTGCCCTTTCTGTTAGTCCAAGGTAGGCAAGGAAGGAGTGTTTAGGTGAAGAGGCACCTCCCGGTGCAGTCTGAGGTCTGGGTGGATGGAATGTGAGATCGTAGTGGTTCTTGGGGAAAAACATGGTTAAAGGAATAAGGTGGGCAAACTCTGAGTTCCAGTATTTGTCGAAGCACAAGGAAGTGCCGTTGATGGCCAAGGCTTTCACTGCCAAGTTTGGCTGTGCCCCGCTGCCCTGCGCAGCTGACATAGCCACTGTTTGCAGAGCCTGGGAGGCAGACATAACTGAGAGGGGTGACAGGAGGTTTCTGGAGCTGTTCACTGGTAGGAGTGGACTGGCTTCCTTGGAGGTTGAATACTGGCCCTTCTTCTCCTCTTCGGAGCAGTCCCCGTTCTGGTGCTTCTTCACGTGGCGACTGAAGACAAAAGGGTGGGTGGTCTTGAACAGGCACTCGTCGCAGCTGAAAGTCTGGCGTGGAGCATGCTTCAGTTTCTTGTGCAAGTTGAGATTGTCTTTGCGTTTGCAGCTGTAGCTGCACTGGTCACAGTGAAAAGGGCGCTCACCGGTGTGGACGCGCACGTGTTCAATCAGCTTGTTGGCGGTCTTGGACAGGTAGCCACACTGGTCACACTTGTAATGGTTGCCAAGGCGGTGCTCTCGGATGTGCATCTCCAGCTCCAGCTGGTTTGCTTTCACTGTCTGGCAGATCCGACACTTGTACTCCATCTTGTAGTGAGTCTTCAGGTGGCACTCCATCGCTGCGGGGCGGTTGGTGGAGTAGATGCAGAACGGGCACCTGGCAACACAGCAAGGAAAGGCAGGGACAGAGAAAAGAGAAGTCACTCAGCCTGAAGACCTGCCTTCCGGGTTTAACCCTGTCACTCGACCCCTCTCTGACCTACTAAAACAGGAGAAAAAGGCACTTAGTTCTCCCTGTAAAGCCTCTTTTGAATACTTGGTTCACCTCGACACGTCTCTACTCAGAAGAGGTTTGCCCATTTTAACAGCAGTAGAGCTCACGCATCCCTAGGAAAACACTGATTCACTCCAAAGGAGCATCCCTTTAATCTTCTGGCTTACCTTGATGGGGAGGATTCTGCAAAGCAGGCCGGGTGGCGCAGAGTGGGTGACTGATGCACAGGTACTTTGTGTAACGACATTCCTAGTGTTTGCACGAAGTCACTTTGGCCATTTTTTCCATTAAGAAGTGGTTTAAAGTGAGTGTTTACAGATGAGTATGAAAGCAGCTGTTTAAGTAAAGATGGAATAAACTTGTAATACCACATGTACAGCAAATAGCTTAGGAAATCCCTTTTATGTGACCTTGAACAATAAGCTTGCTGGGCATCCTGCTAGGAGCAGCTGAAAGCGTCTGTGAGGATGAGTTGCAGGGATTCCCCTCTCGGCAGCTGAAAGCGTCTGTGAGGATGAGTTGCAGGGATTCCCCTTTCAGGGAGACGAGCCAGCCGTGCTCAAAGGGGGCCTGCATCTGGCAGGGTTTGCCTACAGCCACCTCTGCCACAGCAGGAATTGTTCCCGGGTAGGAACAGGATGTGGGCTCTGCTTACTCACAGCAGCGAGCGTCCGGACCGGGGTGGACGTGGCAAAGGGCCTCACCCCTCTGGTTCCTGGACCAGGAAGGACCGAGAAGGTTGGAGGAGAGAATCTTGAAAGCTTGGAAGGAAGCCTGAGCTGAACGAGCCCGGACACCAAGAAACCCAAAACGCACCTGCTTTTGCTTTATGTAGCTGAGAGGAGGTTGGTGAGGAATAGCCAGGGATCTCTGCGGTAATAAACACAGCACACTCCCTTCCAGATCTCACTGGGGAGCTACAAGAGCAGGTCTAGATAAAAAGATACAACTAAGGCACCTGGCTACTGTCTTGCAGACACCCCTACCTGCTGCTGATCTGTGGTCCCTGTCCAGCAGGTCTGCCAACTGCCTTCCTGCATTTCACATCATTGCTAAGCAGAGATCTTCTCTCTCCACGTGTGTTGTCCCTCGCTACAACTGCTTGCACATACTGGTTTCATATTCATCTCCCTGCTAATTGAGAGACTTTTGAACACAGCGAGTACTACAGGAGGACACTAGGACACTGAGATATCCAGGCAGTTTTCCTGATGCACATCAAGTCCTCTGATCCAGAGAGGGGGCCTGGCATCGAGGCTGCTGATGTGGTTAGCTCTACTGCAACAGAGGACTGGGCTGTCTATCACACATACCTCTCCTGGGCTGGGGCAAGGAAGGAGTGTTTAGGTGAAGAGGCACCTCCCGGTGCAGTCTGAGGTCTGGGTGGATGGAATGTGAGATCGTAGTGGTTCTTGGGGAAAAACATGGTTAAAGGAATAAGGTGGGCAAACTCTGAGTTCCAGTATTTGTCGAAGCACAAGGAAGTGCCGTTGATGGCCAAGGCTTTCACTGCCAAGTTTGGCTGTGCCCCGCTGCCCTGCGCAGCTGACATAGCCACTGTTTGCAGAGCCTGGGAGGCAGACATAACTGAGAGGGGTGACAGGAGGTTTCTGGAGCTGTTCACTGGTAGGAGTGGACTGGCTTCCTTGGAGGTTGAATACTGGCCCTTCTTCTCCTCTTCGGAGCAGTCCCCGTTCTGGTGCTTCTTCACGTGGCGACTGAAGACAAAAGGGTGGGTGGTCTTGAACAGGCACTCGTCGCAGCTGAAAGTCTGGCGTGGAGCATGCTTCAGTTTCTTGTGCAAGTTGAGATTGTCTTTGCGTTTGCAGCTGTAGCTGCACTGGTCACAGTGAAAAGGGCGCTCACCGGTGTGGACGCGCACGTGTTCAATCAGCTTGTTGGCGGTCTTGGACAGGTAGCCACACTGGTCACACTTGTAATGGTTGCCAAGGCGGTGCTCTCGGATGTGCATCTCCAGCTCCAGCTGGTTTGCTTTCACTGTCTGGCAGATCCGACACTTGTACTCCATCTTGTAGTGAGTCTTCAGGTGGCACTCCATCGCTGCGGGGCGGTTGGTGGAGTAGATGCAGAACGGGCACCTGGCAACACAGCAAGGAAAGGCAGGGACAGAGAAAAGAGAAGTCACTCAGCCTGAAGACCTGCCTTCCGGGTTTAACCCTGTCACTCGACCCCTCTCTGACCTACTAAAACAGGAGAAAAAGGCACTTAGTTCTCCCTGTAAAGCCTCTTTTGAATACTTGGTTCACCTCGACACGTCTCTACTCAGAAGAGGTTTGCCCATTTTAACAGCAGTAGAGCTCACGCATCCCTAGGAAAACACTGATTCACTCCAAAGGAGCATCCCTTTAATCTTCTGGCTTACCTTGATGGGGAGGATTCTGCAAAGCAGGCCGGGTGGCGCAGAGTGGGTGACTGATGCACAGGTACTTTGTGTAACGACATTCCTAGTGTTTGCACGAAGTCACTTTGGCCATTTTTTCCATTAAGAAGTGGTTTAAAGTGAGTGTTTACAGATGAGTATGAAAGCAGCTGTTTAAGTAAAGATGGAATAAACTTGTAATACCACATGTACAGCAAATAGCTTAGGAAATCCCTTTTATGTGACCTTGAACAATAAGCTTGCTGGGCATCCTGCTAGGAGCAGCTGAAAGCGTCTGTGAGGATGAGTTGCAGGGATTCCCCTTTCAGGGAGACGAGCCAGCCGTGCTCAAAGGGGGCCTGCATCTGGCAGGGTTTGCCTACAGCCACCTCTGCCACAGCAGGAATTGTTCCCGGGTAGGAACAGGATGTGGGCTCTGCTTACTCACAGCAGCGAGCGTCCGGACCGGGGTGGACGTGGCAAAGGGCCTCACCCCTCTGGTTCCTGGACCAGGAAGGACCGAGAAGGTTGGAGGAGAGAATCTTGAAAGCTTGGAAGGAAGCCTGAGCTGAACGAGCCCGGACACCAAGAAACCCAAAACGCACCTGCTTTTGCTTTATGTAGCTGAGAGGAGGTTGGTGAGGAATAGCCAGGGATCTCTGCGGTAATAAACACAGCACACTCCCTTCCAGATCTCACTGGGGAGCTACAAGAGCAGGTCTAGATAAAAAGATACAACTAAGGCACCTGGCTACTGTCTTGCAGACACCCCTACCTGCTGCTGATCTGTGGTCCCTGTCCAGCAGGTCTGCCAACTGCCTTCCTGCATTTCACATCATTGCTAAGCAGAGATCTTCTCTCTCCACGTGTGTTGTCCCTCGCTACAACTGCTTGCACATACTGGTTTCATATTCATCTCCCTGCTAATTGAGAGACTTTTGAACACAGCGAGTACTACAGGAGGACACAAGGACACTGAGATATCCAGGCAGTTTTCCTGATGCACATCAAGTCCTCTGATCCAGAGTGGGAGCCTGGCATCGAGGCTGCTGATGTGGTTAGCTCTACTGCAACAGAGGACTGGGCTGTCTATCACACATACCTCTCCTGGGCTGGGTGCTCTCTGGATCAGAATCTCAGATTTTGACCTGGAGCTGGAGGAATCATGTTTTTTTTCTCTTCCCCCACAGCAAAGAGGAGACAGAAAAATACAATTTACTTAGATCTCTTCAGGCTCTTCTGGATGCCTTAAAAAAAAAATAAATCAGAGCTTTTTCTTAGGCGCAGCTTTCAAGGTACCTCATTATTACTTGAGTTGGGCAGGAATAACTTAAGCAGACTGAGAAGCCTATTCTGTCAGGAAGGTCTGAGTCATAGGTCATGGTTTTTCCTTGGTAAATAGAACAGATTCTGCGCAGCTTAAACCCAAAGTGCATTAGACAACTGGTCTGTACATCCAAGACAGACATCCCGCCGTTCTGGCACACTACTTGTGTCTCAATCTGGTCTTCTTCCCAGATTCACTCATCACATCTCAAGTGACCACAGATCCCGGTCCGTGGGACTACTGAGCTGGAGACTGGCAAACAGAACCCGTTTTCAAAACCTGCAGGGCTTAAACGTGGTGGGCTCGGCCTGTGACAGCTACAGGGCACTGAAATCATTCCTCTGCTCAGCATTCAGCGAGGGCAACAGAAGCAGGGAGTCCTGTGCTGACCCCTAAGCTGGGCTCAGAGTGGTTTCAGCCCCTTTTCCTGCAGCAGCTGGAACAAACAGAGACCAGGGACGTGCATCTTGCATAACATCACGTTGCCTGCCCACAGAGAGCAAGCATATGGCCCCAGCAGCCACTCCTTCCCTCAGGGGTCCAACTCTGACATAAGGGCACGCTTATTCTCTAGAAACACCGCTCTGCACCAACAGGCCTTAAAGGACACCACCTTAACTCAAGCTAAAGGGCTTATTTCTTAAAAGAGCATTACTTGTTACATGTTAATCAATACAACAGTGATCATTCTGGGGCACACAAACCAAAGCAGAAAGCACCAAAGTTATTAATTCTTGGAGAGGACTGACTTTGCATTAGAGTCTACAAAGGCTATAACTTCATACCTCATTGCAGAGACTGTAGGAGGTTTAGTTTGAGCCAGGTGCAGAACAGAGCCTGTGCTGTGTGCTCTCCTTGGAGAAAAACCCTCTTAGTTTGCCAAAACACCTCTGTGTAGCACTGCCTCACCCTCTCTAGGACCCACCACATACTGTCTCCTATTTGACTTGAAAAGGGGAAGGACCATAGTTTGTCATAGCTCTAGGACCAGTGGATGCTACATCTGCTGGTAGGTTACCCATCTGCCATAAAGATGCAAGCCTACAATAAAGGACTGCACTTGGGTCACCTAAATTAAAGGAAGCTCCAAATCTGGATTATCAGACATTTAACTAACCCTTTCTAATCAAAACCCTTTCTAATCAAATTCTGTCCCCACAGTATTAGAGGTGCTTAACACAGTAAAAGTTTGTGTACTTGCTTTCCTTACTTGAGCCCACCGGTGGGGACAGTGTGGCATTTCTTGTGCTCCAGTAACTGCTCAGGTGTCTTCATGAACTTGTGGCACACATCACACTCGAACATCCGTGTGATGAGGTGGATTTGCAGATGGCGCTCAAACATATTTTTTGTTTTGCAGACAAAGTTACAGAAAACACATTCAAAGCCTGAAAAAAAACAAAACAGGAAAACGCATTCCTTACGTTATGGCCAGATCAACGGAGTAAGAAGGTAACAGTTTGTATTTGTTTAACAGTGTTTTACCTTTCTCTGACTTCTCTTCCGTGTTCACTGAGGTCTGGCTACCAGGCACTACAGAAATGACTAGCAGGTTGTTTGAACCTTTGTTTTTTGGGGTTATATCTGCATCTTCTTTGCTGTTGGCAGAGTCACTCAGTGCTGACAGCGAAGATGAAGATGGACTGTTGGATTCACTGGGTGTCTTCCTCTCTTCAGCTGAGAAACAGGAATAAAGAGCAAGAACTAGTATAGTAGATTAGATGGAATCTCAATGATCCTGTTTTAAATTTCAGAAAAAGTATTTAAAGTTAATTCAAACGTGCTTATAAACAAGTCTGAAATGAATTGATCGGTTAAGATCATAGTTGCACCTTTTCTCTCAGTTTATCCTAGAATTGAGTCTGTCTGTAACTGTAGTGGGAAGGAAGTATGCAATTCTACCTCATTATGAGGCTGAAAAAAATCCCAAGAAAACACTTTGACTAGTTCAGAGTTCAAAACCACTGAATACCTTGTCACTTAAAGGAAGCAGAGCTTCTGTAGATTTGGGGTGCAGAAACCAAAAGTGCCCACTGGTCCAAGCTAAACTTCCCCCACCTTTCCACAAATGTGGGTCCAATGGGTAAATTTGGAAGGAAAGGCAAAGGAGAATAATCTCACTCGTACTGAGGAGCATCCTCAGTAATGATGGTAAGAGATAACACTGTGGTCTCAAGATTTATCTGTTTTTATTAGGACCTCTTATTGAAGATAATGAATTAAAAAACCCAAACCAAAACACATTATTTAACCGGATCTAAAGCTGAAGCCCATCAGAGTTTCCTTATGTGTGCAATAAATGTATGAAGTTCAAATCCCAAACCCTAGAGATGAACAAGAGTGAGAGTTCTCCCATGAGAACTGCTGTGAGCCAACGAGGCAAAGATGGGCAAATTATTACCTCCCACCGAGGTCTTGGTTTAATCACAGCTGTGTTAAAAAGAGACTGCACTAAAACTTCACGTTCTCTATGCCATAAAGTCCCTGATCAAGGCCTCTGCAAACATCCAGCTTTAAACTGATGAGCGGCACCTTTAAGTCAAAGATAAAAATGTAGGAATGTGCTAATGAAATCTGATGACCCGAGCTGTCAATAGGGAGGATGACTGGGATATCATATAGAAAGATGCACTGACCTTGGGGACCAGAGTAATAGAAATGGAATGAAATTTAATAGTGCCGACTACAAGGTTATGACCTGAAGGGCCAGTAACAAGGATTTTTGCTACAAATGAGGAGTGCTTAAGTTGGAAACAGTCAAGGAAAACAAAAGAAGAATTTGGGCAGAACACGGGATGAATATGAGCAATCAATGTGGGGGAGCCTTCAAGCAATCTCATCCCAGAATGTTTGTTATTGTGTGAGCTACTCCCTGTAGCTGCTGCTGTTTTACGCTGCCACCGCTGCTTATTTCATTTCACCCTGTACAGCGGTGATTGCGTGTGTCCAGAGCAGGGGTGCTAACAAGAACACATGTAACGAAGGATTGGTACAGTGAGAAAAGCATGTTTCATAGAAGAAAAGGATCAATGTGCATTTAGAAGGACGAGGGCTGTTCTCCATAAATATACTAAGGGAATAAAGGTGGAAGGAGCGAAGCGAAACTGTTCTCCATAAATATACTAAGGGAATAAATGCTGTGGAAGGAGCGAAGAAAGGTGGAGGGAGCAAGAGGTGGCCTCCTAGATGAAGGACAGTTCTGGCACAAGAACAACGTACCTGTATTCTGATTATCAGGAAGACACGTGCTGGAAATAATACTAAAAATCTGCAGTTGCCTTGATTATCAGGAAGACACGTGCTGGAAATAACACTAAAAATCTGCAGTCTGTAGAAGTAGTTGGTTTAAAACAATTATATTTGTTTGAAGACGTACACCAACATCCTTACAAACAAGTCTTTTATGACTTGGTAACATCACAGGGTAAGGGACTGGAGTCAAGTGACCCAGAAAATCCATTCTATTTTTCACTCTCTGTATTTGCCATATGTGTAAGCATTTGGCTGAATCGCCAGCTGAACGGCTCAGTTTGACAGGGCGAGGGAAGAACAAGGCATTTTTTGTCTTTCTTTAAAAGAGAAGCAGCAGCTCCAATTTTTTAGCCACGATAGGAAGATACAGTAGAGTACAGCTCACTTTTGAGCTCTGATGCCAGCTTTTGACGTGGCATGGGGGGTGTTTCCCATCTGCTGTAACTTCCTATAGATGAAGTGGAGTTAGATACAAACACCTCAGAGAGCAGGGAGTAGTGCTGAAACCTGTGCTGGCATAAAACCCCTAGAAAGCTTTCCAGTGGTTTGTATTTCTAAAGTTACATTTGACTTATGTATCTGTGAGCACAAACAACTGCATTCTTCTCTTCCTCCTCCTTCTCCCCTTACTGTTTTCCCCAATTTACTCCTGGTAGCACAGGAAAAGCAACTTAGCAATGGAAAAATTGCGCTGGATGCAACTCAGGTTCAGTATTGTCAACGCAATTGTTAGTATGAGGCCGCAAAAGAGAAGATAAATTCATCAAAAACCAGAAATTAATTAAAAGGATTCTAATTTTTCTTCCCCTAAAATCATGCCAGACTGCCTTAGTCGGACTAAGCATATGAAGCTTGTTTGAAAACTGCTACTGCTCTTATCTTTGGCTATTAAGTGAACAGGGACAGGGAGGGAACGCGCGACTTGTTCTGTTATTTAGTATAAAGTTACATTTATGGTATTGCCGGATCGCAGTGGCAACTAAACATCAGCGTGACATTCCAAACTGAGAGACTGTGGAGGCAAAACACACTGAAGAGCAAAGCTCAACATCTTGTGTGTTTCAGACTTACAGCCAGGTATGCACAATTAGCCCTCAAAGTCACCTTAGTCACTGAAGTCAAACCAGGATTTTGATGAAATAGTAAATCAGTCAGAAAAAACAAACAAAGCACGCTGACTGCAACAGGGGAGGGCATCTGGGGGATAAGGGGAATAGGAAGGAGGAGGGCTAAGTAGTGCTTCATTTATGTCGCTAAGCTTGAAAATTGATCTGTGCTACCAGATTATTTGCCTGGCTGGAGTCCAATTCACTTCAACTTGGAGAGATCAGGCCTTAATTAGCAGGCGTTTCAGTGAAAGTAGAGTGCTAATGGGAAGTGTGAAGGTTGCACCTCAAAAGCAAGGAAGAGAGAGATCAGTGCAGTTGGGAGAGAGGGATCGTCACCTGTGTGCTTGCTGTTGACGTGAGCCTTCATATCTGCCTCCTCCATAGTGACAAAATCGCAGGCCGTGCAGCAAATGGAGAACATCCACTGCTCCTTGTCCACGTGGAGGGACATATGACTGACAAACTGGACGTTCATCTCCGTCTCAAACCCGCACACGTGACAGCTGTGGGCAGAAGGGAATTCAAGAGTAAGAAACATTACAAAAACAAACCGCAAACGGAAGCACGTTGCCTTTCCCTGAATTTGGAAGGAAAAAAAAAAAACAACCTCGCTGCACAGATTTCTTCCTTCTCTTCGGCGCTGATGAATGTTCACTGCAACATTCTTTTGTCTGCTGAACTGCCTTTGAACTGATGGCCACGCCAACGTGATTAAGAGCAGGCACAGTGCAACAGTCTTGTACATGCTATAATGACGCTAAATAATCATAAAGTTAATTAAAAACTACAGATTCCAGATGCTGCACATCACCTAGCCGATTCCTTTGGGCAATAAGAGGCACGGCAGCTTTGCCAAGATGTTTAGTACGGCTGATACACTGACAAACGGAGAGCTTGCTGCACACTCCAGGAGTTATTTGCAAGCCCTGGAATGGTTCCCATGCCAAACTGGGATCTTGTGCAAAACTGCCTGGCGGTTTCAGCGTAAGCAAGTAAAAATGGGTTCAAACATCTCTTATGCTTGACTGGAAAGCAGCAGTCATTAGCTATGCAAATAATTAGCAGGGATACAGAATTCACAGCCAGCGCATAAACAGAGCGATATTGAGAGGTGACAGAAAGGACCCTTTAATTTAACTTTCTTTGCAGAGTCCTCCTCTTGCTTTGATTAGGCCATTAACATTTAAAACAAACCAAAAACATTTAAAAAGGCATATACTCTAGGGCACTGTTTTGCTTTCCCAGGGGGATGGACTAGATAATCTAATCCAGCAGGTCTCATTTATTTCTTAGTTCTATGATTTTGTAATTAAATCTGCTCTTGGCACTTTGACTAAAAGTAAGAGTGATTTGGTAATCTGCTTGGCCACTGGAGTGCATATCACGGTTTGCAGAGGGCACAACAGTGCATACAACATGGAGAATGTCCAACTATCCGTTTTATCTGGGTTATTCCTTTTAATTTTTCAGGCAAATTCTCCTAGAGGTTTTCTTTCTTTTATCACGTTGGTCACTGAATGTATATACCTCTAGCAAATGGAGGAAATGTGTATATCAATGTAACAACTCTTATTACTCTTTACTATTTGATTTTGTGGATTTGGCTGAGAACAGTGGAGCTGTCAGAGTGCACTGTGCTTTAGGTTTGCCATGAATCTGCGTACAGGATGCGATGTTTCTCAACACAAAACTTAAACAAACACTGCAGAAGAAGTTAAAGAGGCTTCTAAGAGCCCACCTGCCTCACAAAGCTGTTTAAAAAAAACACAACCCCACACCAAACCCTTGAGTCTTTCCCAACGGCCAGCCAAGTCAAACAGCAGGAGGCAGCCAGCTGGGCTCTGCCGCTTAGCCTAAGTCAGACGCGGGCAAGACAAACACTTTCATCACAGTTCCACCCTGCAACACCAGAAAGGTGCCCCTTGGCACGTCCTTAGCAGGCAGATAAGACACTCAGATTCCAGCTGGTGCACAGCCCTTGTCCACCTGCAACACCAGAAAGGTGCCCCTTGGCACCTCCTCAACGGGCAGATAAGACACTCAGATTGCAGCCTCTGGTGCACAGCCCCTGTCCGGGTCCTCACCTGTAGTAATAAGGGTGCTTCTTCCCATCGCTGCCTTCGGAAGTGACAGCGCTGACGATGTCCTCGGTGTCTGTACTCACCAGCTTCACAGAGTGCACGGTCAGGTGCTGGTTGAGGTTAGCACGGCACTTAGCAGCGTAGGGGCACAAGTGGCATTTGTATTTTCTCTCTTCTGAAAAAGAAACAGAAAACCTTCAGCGTATACTTCAGTTCAAAGCAAGCTATTTTTAAAAGCTGCCAATAAGCAAGTGTGCATTCCTTTGGGTTTCTCCCAGCAGCTTTCAGCATGAGGTACTTTGGAAGCTTGACATTTTGGAAATTTATAAGAGTCCACAACAATTAGTCAGAAAAAAAAAACCCCAACATGATCTGGAGTTAGTTTAGGGCCAGGTTTTTTAACTTGCTCTACCATTTGTAGTCAGATAATACAAAACTTTATAAACTGGAAAACTGGGGCAACTGGTGCTATGAGAACTGCAGCAGAGTCAGTAGAGAAACAGGTCAATAACCTACAACCCCTTCCTTGACCTAGCGTCTTTTATTTGATTTTGGGGTCCAGTTATTCTTGAGGTTGCCCATGTGATCACTTGGAGACAACTGATGGTTGATGATTTTGTATTAAAATCTGAGGGTGTGGAGGAAAGGGAACGCTGCATCATTAGGCCAGTTCAGAACACAAACTGATGAGAAAAACTTACTCAAAGAACAGTTGAAAAAATTAAACAAATTCATCATGAGTTTGAAAACCAAAAGGGTTCTATTTTAAATTAAACATTTCTAAATCCTGGCAGCACATTTTTCTCATATGTGCCAGGCTTTATTTTGCAAAGAGTTGATTAAAATAACCAAACATTACATCAGCTTTTACAACCTTTCCCTTTGGGGAGCTGCTCTAAATTTGAAATAAAATGCTGCAAGGGTTAGGGGAAAGGTATCCAACAGAGCAGCTTAGGGCTAAGGAAACCCCACGATGCCACAGAACAGAGCATTTGAACCTTTTCAGCAAGGCTCTACTAGATGGTACAACACACACTAGCATCATACCAACCACACAGAACAGAGCATTTGAACCTTTTCAGCATGGCTCTACTAGATGGTACAACACGCTGGCATCATACCAACAGTTTAAATTAAACATTTCTAAATCCTGGCAGCACATTTTTCTCATATGTGCCAGGCTTTATTTTGCAAAGAGTTGATTAAAATAACCAAACATTACATCAGCTTTTACAACCTTTCCCTTTGGGGAGCTGCTCTAAATTTGAAATAAAATGCTGCAAGGGTTAGGGGAAAGGTATCCAACAGAGCAGCTTAGGGCTAAGGAAACCCCACGATGCCACAGAACAGAGCATTTGAACCTTTTCAGCAAGGCTCTACTAGATGGTACAACACACACTAGCATCATACCAACCATATTTTCCAGCACTGCATCACAAATTCTTGCTTTCAAGTCTTATTTTGCGCAGTGCACCTCAGCAGGCCAACAAGGTGCACCTTCCATCGAAAAACTCTCTTAGTCTCAGTTGATTTGAAGCTGATTCACTTTAAGGAAGTTGGTATGGGGTAGAACAGGAAGATGTTCTACATCCTGTTCTTCCTCTCAGAAGAACGGGACGATGAGAGCAAAGATGAATGACAGACATTAAATCCTTTCCGTTTCACCAGATCTGAAAGACCAAGGCCAAATCTTTTGCTCTTGGGTGACTCAAAAAGCTCATCAGATGAATGAAGGAAAGGCTGTGCTGTTTCTTCAGAACTCCAATAACAGGCTTGGTACGGCTGGTCTAGTGGAACCTGGACAAACTTGAATTTACTCATTTTATTAAGATAAATTACAAGTAGGCTGTAAAGAAATAAAACGTTAGTTAACTCCCTGAACACCCCTCTGACATTCTGTCCTGTTTCTGTGCGTGGCTCTGCTCTAAGTGCAAGGCCTTCATGTTCTTCTGCTTCCCTTCTTCTCCCTCCACTGAAACAGACCATGAAGAGGTTCCCTGAGTGCTCTAACAGCCAGGCACAAAGCAGGGCTCACCTGTGTGCAGCGAGAGGTGCCGGGACAGAGTCTGCTGGCGACCAAACACTTTTCCACACACGTCACAGGGAAAGAGCTGGTCGTTAAATTTCCAAGATGGCAATCCATTTCCCACCTCCAGCCCCAGCTTTTCTGTTTCTACGCCAAAAAACACATAAACAGAAAGTAATATTTTAAGAACCCTGAAGACTCGCAGGTTTCATTCAGTAGAGTCCTGTAGGTGTCATATAAAATACAACACCTCGGCCGCACGCTGTGTGATCTGGCACATGAGTTCATGTAAAAAAAGGAAACTCCTGACGATGGAAAGGAAATTAATCTTTCACACAGCATCTTTCATACGTACTCTAAAGCAGAAGGCGTAGTCAAAGTGTTCTAGACATAGACATATTCCAAGAGTTAAACCAGATTATGTAAAGAGAGAAAGTCAAGCAGGATAAAGCATTAACTTCTTATTCTGTTTTTGTGGAGAGACCACTCCTTTGGCTTTTTCCATCGCCCACCTTTGCCTGGTGCATGAAGAAGGCCTGGTCTGAGATGGTGGTCTGTTTTACACTGGATTATTATTCATTGCTGAAGGATGATTTCCAAACCTTTTCTTTTCTCCTGACGCAGGGGTTTTTGCTACGTGAGCAATCTTACAGTGAAGGAGAAGAGAAGATTGCTCAGACAAATGGTAAACCAAGAGGACACAGCACGCCAGCGAGTGGGTGCCATCTAAGGTAAGCTCTCCTGCTGTCCCCAGGCATCAAAATCCCCAGCACCTTACAGGGTCATCCATTGAAATACTGAGACCCAGAGCAAGCCATTATCTTTAAAGAAATCTTTTTAACTGTTTCAGAACCAGAGTCTGCGATACTAAAACTCCACACAGCATAGAACACAGACATGACAGCACTCTGTAAGGAAGTAGAGAGAAAAGGACTGGGAATGAGGAAGAGAAGAAAAGGTACACAGTGCTTCAAGAAGTTAAAAGCATGGCCTGTTTTGGTCTGGACAGAAGGCAGCAGAGAGCCAGTGGAGCCTGGGGACAGCAGTGACACTACTCAGCTCAACAGGAGGAACAGTATCAGCAAATCTTGTGTAAAGAAGTAATTCTCTGCAAGGGTCCTGTTGCCTGAGGAGAAGGGACCGCTGTTCTAAGAGATGCACAAAACTGAAGGGTACTCAGCAGCTTTCCAAATACAACAGTAAGGGGGGTTTGGTGTTAAGACTTACTTTTGGTACAAGACCTAATTCCACTGGAATGAAAGATACAACATGCAGAGCACCTGAACCGATACTGCCAGAACCAGCTCCACCAGGGCAGGTCTGCGTGCCGTGGTGGAGGAAAACCACTTGGCTGGGACTTTCAGGTAAAGAGAAGGAGAGGAGCTGAGAACAGGAGTACAAAAATGTCTTACTGAGTGGAAGTTACTATCGCAGAGGTTGGCACAAACCAGCAAAATCTTCATCTGAGGAAGCACCGAGGAATAAACACCTCCCTTGTACAGGTAATCTCTCACTGACGGTCACTTACCACTGCACATTTGACTGCTGTGCCTGAAAGAGTCTCTCCTTCACAGAGAGGTGTCCAGACAGCTCCACGGCTGTTTAGGCAAAGAGCTGTCAAATACTATAATTAATTTCAGCAATAATGAAAACAATGCCTCATTTGGGGCAGAGATTCCACATCGCAATCTCAGCAAGTTTAGGGCTGGTCGTATTTGCCAGCCCCTTTTCAGCTGCTGTTGCTTTCTCCTCTGAACCTGTGATATGTGCAACATGAAGCACACCACAGGAATTACGAGGCACCTCTGAGTGCTACCAGCCAACAACACATTTTTCTTAAAAGAATTTCTAGTTAGAGAACAAGTTCTGCCTATTCAAAATAGTCATTTTGGGACATTAAAAAGGAAGGACCTCCCCACCCTCTAATGGCTGTGACCAGTAACCTCCAAGAACTGCAATTAAAAAAGGATTCTTTTTGTTACTATCCTTGAGTTCAAAACAATGGAAAAGTCTGACTCTGTACTAATGCTACAGATATTTTAGCAGAGCTTTTTGAGTACGTAATCAAAACAGTGCTTCAAAAGAGGAATATGGTAATAATTATAAGAAAAGGTCAAAAGGGTGTAGGTTGCTTCAATACGGTCACAACAAAAATGATTTAATTGGGACACATACCAAACAAGCAGGCTCAATTAAGTAAATAAGTCTCTTAACAATTCACTTCAGCATTAGTCATCAGCCCTCTTTTATCTCTTCAGAAGAGGAAATACAATATCCTCTTCCCTATGGTGGAATTATAGCTATCAGTTCTGGGAAGCTCATGGGAAGCTGGAAAAATATCAGCTTTCTGATTATCTTGAGGCTGGTGAAAGGTAGTCCTTTGCAAAGCAGCTGCATATCTCTCATTGATGCAAAAGAGGATACTGGAGGTGTTTTGAAAGCACCTCTATTTACTGTACTTTCATTGATGCAAAAGAGGATACTGGAGGTGTTTTGAAAGCACCTCTATTTACTTTAAAGATTTAAGATTTATTCCTGGAGTCCTAACTACAGTGCTTCTTTCTTCTCTTTCAACTGAATCTTTGCTCCGTAGCAAAGTGCTTTTTCTATTTGGTGAGCTGCTTAGCTTGTTTGTGGCAAACCAGAGTTGGTCTCTGGTGGAATAGAAGCCTCAGAACCTTATGGAGGATTGTGGAAGATTTCTCAGCTCCAAGGGAAACCACCTACTTCCACCCACCTTACCCTCTGGGCAGCTTTGTCTGCAGCCCGGAGACTGGAGCTCTGTGTCCAGAAATCTTCCCAGAACATACCCAGCAACTGACCTGGCCAGTGACCCGAAGAATCAGGTGAGTCACCATCCACATTCAATCCTTGGGCTCTAATTAATATCAGGGAATGGTGTTTTCTGCAAAGTGAGTACAAGTCCAGTGGCTCTGAGACCATAAAACTAGTTCTGAGACCATAAAACAGCGTTCTCTGTGGGTCCCAAAGCACTCTATCAAGACACTTAAGCATCGTTATCCTTTAAGGATACCTTACACAGTGGCCAGGAAAAAGATGGACTGAGACCAACTAATGTTAAATAATAAATCTCCGTTGTGAGAGATGTCCCACAGAAATCTTTCACCATGACATCTCTGTACTAAAATGGAAGGGGGGGAAAAGACGACTTACTGTAAGATTTCTGCTTTAAATGAATAGTCCACAGCAAATTCCAAAACTTCCACGTTAGACAAGCATACATGACAAAATAATATTGCAATTATTACGTAATAGACTGCATTTCTCTATGGGTTTTGGAGTTTAAAACAAAATATGGTTAGTAAAATGGAAGGCCTCCAAGTTCTCCAGTACATCATTAACAAGTAATAGAAAGATTAAAACTCAGTTTATTACAGGCTAGTAATGAAATAATTTTGAAATCATTTTGCATAAATATCTTAAAGAGCTAAAAATTTAACGTAAAGGTAAAAGCCAATTCTCAATGAAATCCAGTGAAATACGTGTCTTTGGACACCTTTCCTGCCCTGCTGTGCCCCCTGGTTATCATTTCCCTACTAACCCCAAGTCACCTTCCTAACGAGTAGCTGCGTAAAGCTCATCAGCCAAGATGAGGTTAGAAACTGCCCGGGCTATCACTATCTGTATTTTCCCTCAGGTGAGGATGAGGTGGACATCAACTGCAGAAATATTCTTCTGTCCCTCCTCTTGCCCCTTCAAATAGATTCATTTCTGGCAAACAAAGCCCAGCAGCTTGAGAGAGTTATTATTTACTCCTTTCCTAAGCTGTTGGAACTAATTCTGAACATGCATATATTTACAGTTTTCACTTCTAGTGATTAATTTTTTTTTTTCCCTCTTATCCCCAAACTGGTAATATCAATCTGGAGAGTGCATTAACCACCCCTTCTGAAAAGCCTTTAGCCTGACTTTTGTCAAAAAACACTGAAAGAGCCATATGTGGTTGAAGCTGTAACTGAAGAAGAGAACAAAGTGTGACCTGAATAGGTAAGTAACTGTCTGGAGTCACCAAATCAGCCTGGTGACCACTAGTACCTGTCACACACAGAAAGTTCCCCAGGGCCCAGCTTTGGACTCTGGTATGTGGTACTTTGATTACTTATTTTCTTTTACTTAACATCTGTATTTTTCAATTACTGTTTCACAGTGTTTTATACTACATTATGTTTTAATCTGCTATTCAATGCCATGCCTACCATTCTATTTTTATACTAATATTGAAAGAATGAAACCACTACCTAAGTGAAAACCTTTGCTGGTTTACTGTCTGCTCTCACATCCTTTAACTCACTTCAACAGCTGCTTCTGTTTCATCTTCACACCTCCATAGACCTCGGAAACCACAAAAATCCAGAAGGGCAGATCCTTACGGTCACATGGCCTACCATTCTATTTTTATACTAATACTGAAAGAATGAAACCACTAGCTAACTGAAAACCTTTGCTGGTTTACTGTCTGCTCTCACATCCTTTAACTCACTTCAACAGCTGCTTCTCTGTTTCATCTTCACACCTCCATAGACCTCAGAAGCAACAAAAATCCAGAAGGGCAGATCCTTATGGTCACATAGAATCCTACAGATATAAATTAAATAGATTGCCCTGTACTATAACTATTCCTTAAAGAGGTGGAAGTAAGAGGTGCTGATGAGCCTTAACTCTCTCTCCATTCTTCTGGAAGTGTGTGTCACATTTATACTTGGGGTTATTCAGACAGTTCCACACCACACAGATGGTCAAGAAGAAATCAGGTACGTAATTTTGAAAATGAAATGAACAGAAATCCTGTGAAGGGAGAAAATAGAGAGTGGTGGTTAGACTGGTGGTTAGGGGATGAAGAAAACAAGTATTTAGAGGATCTGGTGACAGAATAGCCACCCAGGGTGAGGCTGAGAGCCAAGAGGGAGAGGTGGCCAAACTCAGAAGAAGAGGTGAAGTGGGCAGTAGATGACAGCTGATACAGGACAAGAGGAAAGGAAGTGTGTGGTACCTCCCTCCTCGTACTCCAGGGGATAAAACTTGATGTGAAGAATACGAGATGCAGAAGGAAGTTCCTATGGGAGAATGCATCTAAAAAATTCCACCAAATCAGAACATGAATAAACTGACACAGAGACAGTGCTGGACAAGGTAACCAGGATTTGACAAGCTCATGGCAAGAGGACGAACGCTACCAGTAGTGCAGATGTCCCACAGCAAGGCAACTCACTTTGCTCTGAATGATTTAGGACATAAAATGGTCTTGAGATAACTTTTGGTTACTACCAGCCTGAAGTGGGTTACTGCACATCTGTCCTTTGTCGTCTTTAAAGTACCCCACATTTACCCCAGAAGTAACTATACTGCATGCAGCTCTGTATGAATGTCACAAAAACTTGTTCCATTTGTAAGCTTATTTATGTTTTGTTATGTCTGAAAGACAAAAAGCCCAAAAAATCATTTATTCAGAAACAAGGTATTCAGGTCTGGCGATCACCCAAGCACTGCTTTAAAAACATTTATTTGGTCAAAGAAATTTTCTTTCCTCCTTCTGTCTGCGTTCATCTGTGTTATTATAATGTCTTCCTACTTTCTGCAGCGTCCCCATCATCAAAGATGCATTTTATTGCTTTGGAGCCTTCCACTTACGTGTTCATCTATCACCTCTGGCAAGCACACTGTATTTAACAATTGAGAACTCCTTTTGTGAAATATGTAATTAAGGCTCTGCTGCAAGCTTGTTTGCCAAAAACCTGCAAAAGGCTCACAAGCTTCACAATATATTGACTGTATGAATTGCAGCGCTCCAAATACTATATATCTTACTCCCTTCCCAACTTACTTTCAACAAAGGTTTTATTTGTAGCACCAGAATTCTTATTTCTAGTAAGTCAGTTAAAATAAAAGAGTGGAATCCTTCCAGGTACTGTAGTTCCCGAGGAAGAGATGTCTTACAACTTATCTAAGGTACCTGTGATCCTGAGTGGTCCTGCAGTCTTCATTTGTCACCGCCAGCATCACAGCAACCTGCCTGGTCTTATTTTAGGATGTATCTTTTACTCTGAGTAGACTCATCCACTCAGTCAGACTCAGCCTAAGCAACTGTTTTTTTGGCATATTTTCTATATTCTCCACAAAAAAAAAAAGAAGTAAGAAAACTTTTTTTTTTTTTTTTTTAATTTACCTCAATCAGCAGCTGAAATTGTGAGCTCATTCGCCTGACTCTTTCGTGGTGGTTTTTTTTTTTTTAATGCCTTTTTGTAGCTATTGAAAGCAGTCAGTGCCACCCCCTTTAATACCAATACAGGGGCATCTGCTCAGACAAACCCAAGTGCCCTCCTGTGTGTTGTGGGCTGGCCACAATAAAAGTTAACACAAAAATATTGCTCAAATAAAAGAACCCAAGTTCCACTTGTGAGGGGGACAGGTAGTTTTTGTTTCCCAAGTCCTGAAAAACCACACATAGACAGTCTGAATGACAGACCAACTGCACAGAGGAAGCAGAGGAAGTCTCCTTGCTAAACAAAAAACTTAACCAACTAATGCTATTTTTTTTTGTCAAATGCTTTCACAAATACCTAACATTACTATGGAGTATCATAAAAAGCAGTAATGTTATGATAATTTAAAATCCTTGCTATGGAAGAAAATAGAAGCCAAGTGATTTTATGTATCAGCAGCATGGTGCTTAAGATGCTCTTTCTACAAACATCAATCATCAAAGCTGAAAATATTTCAATAAAGAGCTTGCATGACTCACAAAAAGAAACATTAGAATTGTGCACAGAAGTATTCCAAATGTGCAATGATAGGCAGCAACACTTGAAAAGGCCACTAAGAAGAGATAAAGATCTCAGGGTTTGTGAAAAGAATGAAAACAAATAAAAGATTAATTTTAAAGATGCCTTTTAAAGATGCCACGTTCCACCAAGGAACATGGAAAACCAGGGAAGCCCACTTCACTGCTAAGAATGAGCCTGTTGCTCAAAAATGGAGAGTCAGAAGCAGGGTGAGAAAAACAAAACCTGAGTCAGGGCAAAGACAAGGCGGGGACACACCGACTTCAAAACACAAGGCCACTCCATACCTTCTACCTTTGCATCAAAACCAACACCTATTTTAACTTCACTTATACAACACAAGACTTCTGAGCAAACAGTGAGGCTTGTGATAACCTCCATCTGCATTATAAAGCTTCGAGATTTGCTTTTATTGCCTGCATTATGCTCAAAACCTAAGAAACAACCAAGAAGAGAGAAAACCCCCAGGTCAAAACTTGAATCAGTCTATGTCAATTCTGTGCAAGGTGGCTGGAGCTGCAGCTTGTATTATCCACAAAGCAGCAAGCATAAACAGCATGGTCTTGGTGGTAACTTAACTCCTTATGCAATAAGAAAGAATAGAACAATGTAAAATTCCTAACATATGCAAAGCCCTGAGCTGTGAATTTACTGCCCCAAAAGACACAGTCATGGTCCCTGTAGCTGCCTGCACGGGCTCCAGGAGTTCCTCCATCAGTCACAGGTATCACAGTGAAGGAGCTCAGTTTGGTTTCATGAGCAGAGATGAAATAATGCAATATGGCCCAGACAGAAACTGGTTTATTTTTTTCCACTGAGGGAGTTGAGACATTGCAAAAAAAAGGATAGGAAGCATTAACAATTCCACTTCCCCAGAAGCATTTATAAAAGCTCACCTGATCATCGCTGGCCGAGAGAACAATCAGTCCTTTCAGGAGCAAAGAGATCCCATCCTAACTTTGCTTTTTTGACTTGTTTAGAAATAATAGCTATTGAAAATGAAAGTTAAATTCTGCACCTATTGTCAGAGAAAAACCTGATAATGTGCTCTTTGTTAACCTTGCATAAAATATTTTATTTCAATATAATTCTAGAATATCCTGCTGAAAATACCTTTATGGTAACTTTCAGATGTGCTATAAGGAATTTACATAATCTCTCTCCAATTCACTTCCAAGCAGGTAGCCCTCACATTCAGCTCAGCCATTTACACTGCTTATAACATTTATTTTGGGTGTTACAACATTGAGTTATATGAACTTATGAAAGTATAATTTGTTCCTATTGTTCTTTTTAAACCACAATTAATTAATTTCCATAATGCAGATAGATTTCTACCCTTTTAATTTCCTTCCTACAATTCTGTTTAAGACACACTTCCTAAGAAACCCTTTTAAAAATCTGAGACGTTTGTGCACATTTAGGACCACGCACGTGCAAATTGTCCTTTTTTTCCTTTTATTTTTGTCAATGTGCCAATTTCCACTTGCAAGCTCACATGGAACAGTGGCTTTTCTTTCATATAGAGAAGGTAGTAACACACGAGGGCACTGTGCAAAGGCTACCACTAATACTATAGAATTCAGATACAAGTAAAGACAAATTGGCCTTTGGACTACATTTTTGCTTTTCACCCTTCTGCATCCTTTTTAGTGAAGCAAAAGCTGCCGTACTAGAGAAACTGCAAGTTGGTGACCAGAAATCTTGGTGGGGGAATGGAAAATAAAGCCCCAAATTCAGACTGAGCCTCTCTTCCTGTGCTGACTGAACTAACACAAGAGTCAAACCTAGATGAACGTAACAGTGAACGTTCGTCCAGACCCACCTTTCCATGTTTCAGGTGCCAGAGAAGCTGCCAGAGAAGGGCACCACCTTTCACGATATGTCGTCGCTGCTGGGGAAGAAATGTCCTTACTGCCTCTACTGCAGATTCTCCAAGCGATAAAGAGTGAACCTGCCAATTCCTTGAAGCCCTTAACTCACTCTTTAAGAGCTTTACTTCTCTTGTTTGCTCCCTCTCTTACCACAAGCACATGCATCCACCTGCAAACCATCCTCTCCTTCCTGCTGCACTGCTCTCCCAGACACTCAGGTTGCATTTGCAGGGCACCACTCAGCACCACCAGCCCCAAATTCAGACTGAGCCTCTCTTCCTGTGCTGACTGAACTAACACAAGAGTCAAAACTAGATGAAAGTAACGGTGAACGTTCGTCCAGACCCACCTTTCCATGTTTCAGGTGCCAGAGAAGCTGCCAGAGAAGGGCACCACCTTTCACGATATGTCGTCGCTGCTGGGGAAGAAATGTCCTTACTGCCTCTACTGCAGATTCTCCAAGCGATAAAGAGTGAACCTGCCAATTCCTTGAAGCCCTTAACTCACTCTTTAAGAGCTTTACTTCTCTTGTTTGCTCCCTCTCTTACCACAAGCACATGCATCCACCTGCAAACCATCCTCTCCTTCCTGCTGCACTGCTCTCCCAGACACTCAGGTTGCATTTGCAGGGCACCACTCAGCACCACCACTGCCCCAAACTCAACTAAACCAGCCCAGCGACCAGTAGGACTAATTTATACCCTGACCAAAATCGTGCTGTAGAAGAAAAAACCCTCCCCAGCTTTGTTTAGATCATTTTTAAACAATGGTGGGGTTTTGTTTAAAAAAAAAATACATACAGCTGTCCAAGTAGCCTGATGAATTTTGCATTTAATTCATTCTTTGGCAGACAAATACTGCAGAAAACAACCTTGTCCAAGATAAGATAGGTGAGGACTGGAGAGTTCCAAGGTAACTCTAAAAGGAAGTGTGAGGAATGATGTGTTCCAATTCCTTTTGTAAAGTGAGAAGAGTCACTTAAAAACCTGTCTTTCTATTTCATGTTGAGCTTGGATTTGGAAAAGTTTCACATTCAGGAAACAGTAGGACTCGATGCTGACGTTCACTTTTACAAAAGATTCTGATATTAAGAAAGACAAAGGAGGATATGAAACTTTAGATGGGTTTGAATAAGATGCAGAGTCTAAAAGACAGCATGCTGACATGCTGAGCATTTATAAACCAAAAGCCTCATCTAGCAAGTCTCTTTCAGGAGGTTATTTAATCGCTATTACAGCTTTGCTACCGAATTGATATCACAGAATTAGAGCTGGGAGGCACCTCAGGAGGCCACCTTGTCTCTCCCTCGCCTGGATGCCCCCTGGTCACACACCAAACGTACCCATCAGTCCCAACAGGCACTTGTCTAACTTACTTGTGTAAAAACCCTCCCACGACAGGGGTTCCACAGCCTCCTGTGACCGTTGTGTCAGTGCAAAACCAGTCCTACTGCTAGAAAGTTTTCCTTGGTGTTTAACTTAAATCTCCTCTGCTGTCCTCTGAACCTGTTTTTCCTTATTCTGCTCACACGAACACAGGCAAGGTTTATTCTTTTTCTCTCAAAGCTGTCATTTTACATATTTGAATACCATTAGCATGTCTCCCCTCTTTTCTTCTCCAGACTAAATAAATACAATTTCTCCAACCTTTACATACAGCTCATGTTTTCTAAACCTCTGACCACGGCTGTCCTCCACATTGTTCTTGCATTACAAAGCCCAAAATTCAGGGCTCCAGCTGCAAAGCACAATTACCACATGTGCCTTACAGACAACATTCCTGACATCTCAGCCGGATGTTTGCCCTTTCTGCAACGCACACAATGTCAGCTCCACACACACTGTCTGACCAAGACTAATCCACATCCCTCCCTTCAGTTGCACTGCCAGGGCATTCATCCCTCCTCTTTCCTTCTGGTGCTCATCAGTTCTCCAGGCACAGAATTTTGTCCTCACTGAATGGGCTACTATTTTCCAAGCTGCTTCTTCAATTCCTCAAAGTAAGACTGAACTCTAATTCTGTCCTACAAAGTGCTTATGGCACCTCCACAGACGGTATGACCATGGTATTTAATAAACACGCTTTCTTTTCCATCATCCACGACATTAATAAAAGGACTAATTAATACGAGAGCAAGCACAGACCCTTCCAGAACTGCACGTGGTCCCTGGGGTTTGACAGCTACACTTAAACACCTAATTATAGTTGTACCTTCCCTTGGTCTCCCTGCTTACTATGAGCATGTTACAGGAGGCAGTGCCAAAATTCTCACTCAACTCAAGAGGTCAAGTTTCTGTAAGGACCTGGCAACAACTACTGTAAGGGTTCTTTCCATACAGATCTCCAGGTTGGTTACAGTTGTCCTTCCTGAAGCCAACTGCTGGTGTTTTGCTGTTTTCCCTTCTTCTTTTCCCAAAAAACATATCCTGTCACTTCATGGTCATTCCTCACCAAGTTGCCTTCTGTCACCTGTATGGAAACAGAGGTCCCAAGAACTTGCTGGACAGCCTTGTGTTGTCTGGGAAATACTCACCAGCAGAAGACAAGGTAGGCAAAACCCCACGTTTCTCATTCTGCACTTCTGCTCAAGAAGCCCTTCTCAAATTTGACCTCCACTTGCGTTACATATTTATTTAAAAATATTGATAGCAACAGTTATTTTGCTTTTCTAAAAAATCACTTGCTGTTGAATAACTATTAGAGACTAAAAACCTACCAAAAAAATGATAAGAGACGCCAAAACCTGCCTTGTTTGAAAGGGTAAAAAACCCAATTGCTAAGTTTTATTTTTCCATGTGGGATGAAACAGTTACCTTTGACCATTTTGCTTTGGATTTGATGGCAGTGGTGTTTTTTAACAGCTTTTGCTTTGCTGGGTTTAATGAATGGGGTCTAGTTTGGGTTTATTCTGAATGAAACCACAAGGTATTCGTTCCGAGCAAAATTACTTTGTTCTTCCGCCCTTTACCATGAGGTTGATCCTGCTTTAGGAGGAACAAACATAAAAGGGAAATGAAATCAAAATAAATATTTTGCTTGTATGAGAAGACTGCGCAGTATTAGAGGGAAAAAAGTTACCTTGTATAAAGGCAGTCCATAATAAAACAAGGATCACAAATTTTCAGATGGATGTCAAGTGCCTTTTAAGACAGCCATTAGACATGGACCTGAACGTGTATCTTTCTGTTTGTCTATTTTAATTAACACCTTTCATCTTGAAGGTCCTGTAAATAATTGGCAAAATAATTAGTGCAGTGACTTCACAAGGAAAAGACGTGAACTCTGTATGGCCAGGACAATTAATGCAAAATCCTACTATTTAGCATGTGTTGGATTGAGAGGGGGACTGACCAATTCACCAGGAGCTTCCCGTGTTCCTCAGCAGGATCTGGTCACATTCCCCTGGGTTGCTGTAGGAATGGCCAATAAATACCCATTGTTGAGAACAATTAAAACGTGTACAACTGCACACGTGCTGCACATTTCATGTCCTATTTCAGCCAAAGAACACACTGCACATATTTGAGCAAGAGACTATTTGCTGATTTGAAATGGCCTGTTCTGCATAATAATTTTTTCTGTTCCAAAAGGGACTTGGTTAGTTGTGAAGACAGTGTGGCAGCTCGGGACATAGTCTCTATGACCGTATCACAGACCTGCAACACACACACACAACGAGATGCAACCCTGCTTGGCAGCAGACCAGAAAAAGCTGCGAGGGAAATGTCATCAGTTGCAGCCACGTCGTTTATGATGCCATTAAACGAACCAGAAATTTGGAAGCCCCTGCTGGATGCCTGCAGTGCAAAGCGGTTGTCAAGGCAGCTGGGTGCGAAAGGAGGCTGCACCCAGGCAGACGAGCAGGGAATCTGAAGACAGGATGCAAGATATAAAAACCACACTAGAGCCAGAGCTACTGTCACACAGTTTAGCGCTGAATTATGTTGAACAAATTCTGCAAAAATCTGTCTTGCTTTGGAGAACTATGCTAAGCACAGCCCACTTCCATAGCAGTCCAACTATCGCACCTCCCTAGAATCACTTTCTGCAACTTGCCAGCTCCCTCTCTCTCTATCAGACTTCAGAGAGCAACCACGATGGCTGACAGTCCCCAGCCTTCTACAGAATACAAAGAAAGTGAGTGTACACCAATCAATGTGCACCCAAAAGACATCTTTTTTTCTGTGAAGAATGGAAGTAAAATGCATGTTGGAGATAAGGAACTAAAATCAGTTACTCAAATCAATCTGCCACTCGTGTCACAAAAATTTGCCTATGAAGCTGTCGTACAGGTTGGATTTGCCAGAGGAATCTCTCCAGTATCCATGCATCTGCATGGGCTTTTACACAAACGTACATGTGCACACACATGCATACACACACACACAAAAAGAAGAGTATTTGATTGAATCTTACCCCAGACAGGTACTGGAAGAGGAAGAAAATTAAATGGGTGCTTCTTCTGAGGACGGAGAGAACCAGGCTGTGCAAGGCTCAGTGAGTACCCACCGTTGTGTTGTGCAGGCAGCGATGGCAGCCGTGAGGATCTGCCTCCAGCACCACTTCCACAACAAGCACGTTTCACAGAGATACTGAGATAGAAATGAGCACCAGGGCTGAGTGCCTGATGGAGCATGCCTTCTGCAGTGAATTAAGTGCCACTCTACGCTTTTCCACCCTGCCAGGAAGCCAATAGGGGTCAGGCACTCTCATCATCAAGAAACTGAAGGGGATATCTAATGTCCTGGCTGGGCAGAGCTCATAATTCAGACCAAAACTGAAAGCAAATAAAATGACCATAAGCACTAATAATAGGATAAAGCTGGGGAGGGGGGGAAGCACTATATAAGTCAATTCATGTGCATGTGCACTCCCTCTGCAACTACATTGGCAATAAAAATTGCTGTTCCATCACAGGGATGGAAACCGCTGCCAGGATCTTGAAATATTCCTTTAGACTTCCAAAGAAGTCTGAAGTCCAGCAAATATGATTAAGGGATTGGAGCATTTGTCACACAAGAAGAGCCTGAGAGAGCTAGAACTGCTCAGTTCAGCCTGGAGAAGAGAAAGCTTGGTGGGATCTTTCCAATCCATAGAAATACCTGATAGTAGGGAATAAGATGATGAAGCCAGGCCCTTCTCCAGTGACGCCCAGTGGAAAGGAGGCAAGGGCACAAGCTGAAACACGATCTTTCCAATCCATAGAAATACCTGATAGCAGGGAATAAGATGATTCCTTCTCCAGTGATGCGCAGTGGAAAGGAGGCAAGGGCACAAATTGAAACATGAAATTCCATTTAAACGTAAGAAAACACTTTTTCTACTGTGAGCTTGGTCAAACACTGGCACAGGTTGCCCAAAGACTCACCATCCCTGGAGATACTCCAAACCTGACTGGATACAGTCTTGAGCAACAGCCTAACTGCTCTGAGGAAGGGGGTGGAACTAAGTTTCCCACCTCAACCATTCTGGGATTCTCCCAGAAATAATAACCCACAAGTTCTGCTGCCCTAAATTAATTAGGAATCAGTTGCTTGCAGTTTTGCTTTTAACCCCTAGCTTTCCTTTACAAATTCTGGCATCTAGGATTGTGAAGAAAGCCTTCCTAAAGTAAACAGAGGACTACCCACAATCTGAAGAGAGAGGCTTTTTGGCAGATGTGAGCAAACAACCACCATAAGAAGGTGTGAATTGTTCTAATTAACTCCATGGGTACATACCTGGGAAGCTATACAAGGGCAATTTAAATGCCAACATTTCACTGCTGATCACTTCAGCAGAAATCCTCAGGGCTTGTGCCTTAAGGCCTAAGCACATGTTCCAAGGGTGACAGAAGTGCCAACAGTCCCCTACACACAAACCCTCAAGGTGTCCCTTCACTTCTGCAGTGCAGTTACAGAGGTCTCAGGGACAAGGTGAGGTAAGTTAAAAGCAGGAAGTCTTTGGCAGCAGCCTAAAAGAGGCCACGAAGGAAAACTGTCACTGGCAACTTGTGAAGAAATGGAAACTCTCGTCAAATTCACTCTAACCTCCTATTCAATTTATTAAAGCCCTGACTTTCTTAATTAACCTAGCGATGACCTAAACTTCAGAGCTGGTTGCTGTAGATGACTGCGGAAGGTTCATTTGCTGCTGAGCATAGGAGACCAGAATCAAGCATGAATACTGCTGGAAAATAGTATATATGAATGAGCAAGTTTGCAGGTTGGACAGAAAGAACTCTTCCTATCTACTTTATAGATGCTTTAAGCCACACAAAATTACAACATCAGGAGGTACATTGACCTTAAAGCATCTTTTAAAAGGGATTAGGAAAGAATACACATGCAAAATACTTCATATTCAAGAAGGTAGTATCTGTGCAACATAAACAGCTTGATTATTTATCGTGTTCAAGTTAAAACTCTAAACCCTCAGGAGGTATTTTTCAACTACAGTCACAGAAGAAAGTAAACAAGATTAAATGTGGTCACAGCCACGTCAATCTCACACAAATGCTGGAATTTCACACAGTCAAAAGATACTGCCTTGCCTTCATCCTGCTCACATCCCAACAGTCCCACAAACTATTAGAAATAAAAAAAAAAAGATTAGTTCTCTGCTTGCCCTGATCTGGCTTACAATGTGGCCACACAAATGTTAGCACTGCTGAGCTGGAGAACGTGCAAAGATGAGGCCCAGGGAACTGGCAGATTTTCCCCTTTAAGTATATTAAAGTTACAGTGGAATTACTGCTGCAGAGAAAATTAGTAGAAGGAGGATGTGTGTATCAACAGCAACAGGGGAAACCTGGGCATCTCCTGAATAGTCCTGGAGTTTCAAACATACGGGAATCTTTGCTGCACTTATTACCTTGGTTCAATAAACATAAATATGGGATAATTCCCACTAACTACATCATCAATAAAAATAAAACTGACAGTACCAAAATCCAAAATTTTTGCCCTTTGTTTCCATGTTTCCAATTTTCTACAGAACCAAGTGTCATGCTACTGGTTCAATATTGGCTTCTGGACATTTCTGAAGAGGAAGCATGGCCCATGTGTCATCTTACAGGTCAGTAAAGGGTGTGGAAACACAGTGACACAAAAGGCTCTGATGTATTTTCAAAAACGTACTTGAGGACTTGAGAAGTGTTATTGGCTTTATTTCACTGAAATAAAATACACCGGTAAATTTAGCTCTGGCACAATGGACAAAATTTAAAAACTAGGGCTATTCATGGACTAAGAACTCCCTAAAACCTACATCCTCCAGTTCCAGAAGTCTCTTTTAGCCATGTGAAATTCACTTACCACAATAAAAATTACAGTTTTGCAAGAAGTAGTAAATTTTCACAAAAAAAAGGTTTTTTTTTTTTTTTTAAATTTAACCCTCTAGAGATGTGATTGTTCCAGTATTTGGCAGCATCAATGTAAATGAAGGAGCATATCAGGTTCTTGGTGAACAGGAGAGAAAATAATGAAATATTATTATACTACACACAGATATACATAGAGACAAAATACTCCCAAAAACCCATGGCTGGAGTCTTCACCAATATTAATGAACTGACCGGAAAAGGAATAGTGAGTATCACTCATCTGGGTTTCATGAAGGCAGGTTTGATTTACGGAATGAGTCCGTGTGATACTGGAAAACTATTAAAACACATTAAGGATTGGCTAAGGGTCAGGAACACCAGCCTAAGATCAAGTTTTTAATTTATCTAGTGATCTGGACTGAGCTATACAGTCTGACATAAAACTAAACTCTATTCTGTCAAAGAAAGAAGAGTCTTATAAAACAGAAGATAAAAATTCCCTTTTAAATTGACTGTTTGAAATGAAAATATTCATTTCTTCTCCCTACCTTTTGCTAGGCCAAAAAAGGTAATTTTGCTTTTATTATAGGGGGCAGCTGAAATTATTGAGTTGTTTTGGGTATTACTTTATATTAGATATGACTTTGATACTATGGTGTTCTTTGAGCAAAACGTGTTTGAGTGATGTAGACATCAATACTATTTTATTTATCACAATTTTTGAGTATAAAAGAGCTTATTTGGACAGCAACAGTAATACAGAAAAGAGTAATGTAACTACAACTAACCTTGTATGGTTATTAACATACAAAATACCTTAAAAAGCAAGGGAGGTAGTTTCCCAAACCTATCCAATACTTTTGAACTACGTACTAGAGGAAATTACTTTCTTCCCTTCTCAGAATATTAAGAATTCACCACAGATTATCAAGGAGTCACCACAGCTTCTGTGGGGCTGTTGAATACCTTCCTGACAGTTGTTTGAGGTTTCAGTGTCATTGCCTTGGGTGCTCCATGAGAATCACTCCTCCTGCCAGTGATACTGCTGCTGATCAAGATTACTGCACCCTCATTTCAGGCTAAATCCATCACTATGTTATTATTTAGTTAGTTTTTTTTAATATGTCTTTCCTAATTATTTCATACTCCTTGGGGATCTTGCATACTCAATGCCCTGCAAAGAGTCCTCTTCCTCTTAAATACCTGATCTTGCAATTTTCTTATAAACTATGAAGAGAAGCAGTTTGTGCTGAAGAGACCACTAAGAAGAATTCTCAAGGACTGAACTTTGGACAAACTGTGCTTAAAAGTTCCCTTTAATAGCTTCTGTAGAAAAAAACCCCAGCACTGTATTAATTATGCAGTGTCAACAATTTCAGAGTATTAAAGAAATAATCTTCAGAGCTAGAGTAAAATGAAACAATTAAAATTATGAGGTCATATGTCTAGAAAGTAGGAGCAAGAATTTCTGTTGCATGCTGAAATCATCAGCTGAAATTGTAAAGGAAAAGAAAAACGTGTTACTATTTGATTAGCAAATGAACTGAGAGTCATCAGCATGCTGTAGTTACAGACTGTGATTAATCAGGAGAGGCATTTCCAATATACATATAGAAGATTGCATGCCACTGAAAAAGTCATTGGTAAGACCTTCTGTAAAATAGCATATATAATTCCGACTACTCATATTTGCAGAAATTAATTTCCCTAAACAGAGGCAGAAAAAGTCTATGATGTCAGTCAGGAAATGGAAACCCTATTATACTAGAAGACACTGAAAGACATTGGCTGGCTTAATTTTTCAAAATGAAGACAGGATTAGGGAGATGTAAAATGGCACATCAGATGGTGAACATCACAAGGGAGAAGAATGATCAAAACTGAAGGACAACATTGGTGAAACAACAAGCGTAGAACTCGCTGTGAATAAATTCAGGCTGAAAAGAGAGCGGTCCCAGCCCTTCAAAGGGGTGAGCTTCTGAAACCGTGTCCTCATACAAATAATGACAAGAGGTTTAAGACAGATCTTGATAATGAATAAGATTACATAATGCTGTTACCTATTATAGAAAAGAATTGGACACATGAGATATCTTACTGTCCTCTGTTCCTGTCACTTTTCCCAATTCCTCTGCAGCTAGGGTGCCAAGGAGTCTGCAGACAGAAAGCTGGCAGGAGCCTGGGGATACAACCAGCCATATTGGTGCTCTCTTGGAAAGAAGCGCTACGTGCGTGTGGTTCCACCAGGGCCACCTAGACCAGCTGGCAGTGAAGGCTTCCTCGTGTCACTGTGCCTGCCTGAGTCAAGCCTGGTCACAGAGAGCAGCAGCTCAGACCCCACGCTTCCCCATCAGACTCTGCCAGCTGTGGTGGCAGTGGCACAGAGTTGCGTTTTGGGATATGGACACTGCTTAATGAACACTCTTGGCCACTAGCAGTTAATCTGCTTGGATTTTAGTTGATGACGTGAAGATGACAGTGGACTGGAAATTTCATGTCATTTTCTTATGCTGTTCTTTTTCTATTTCTTACTATCCTGTTTCAGGGATGAAGTAACCCAAAACAAATCTCCAGGGAAGGCACACACACCATTTATCCATGGGACACCACACACCCAGTTGGCCTTTACAATGGTTTGCCATCGTTCCTTTATGTCACTCTCTACAGGGATAAAGTTTCTTCTGAGCTTCATAGACTACTTCTCCTTGCAAGGCTGAAACTAGTAGGAAATCTACCTGTGGGTATTCTGCTATTCTTTTACATGAATATCACATTTGTAATTGATTAAAAATTTAAATCACATTCCTGGTGCTACTGTGAAGCTGCGCTTCAGGTCCAAGAATTTATTATGAAGCTGAGAAAAATCAACAT